AAAGAACAACTGTTAAGGGGAAACTTTTAAATGTAAAGCACAATAGCTTTTCTACTGTTAATGAGTAAAGATGTATATATTATGATTTACACTTGTTATCAGTTCCGTCCAGTTCCAGCATGAACTGGTCAATCTTTTCTTGCTCAACTACAGGAATTCCCTATGTGACAGAGAGAAAGACAGACAAAACGAATCATTACCAACCCATATACAGTTACTAGACTGTGGTTTAATTGTAAAAGTCTAAAATTCTCACCTGGCTGATCAGGGCAGGTGCAATAGTTTGGTTCACATGCTCAACCGCCTTTAATACACCTACATTGCACAGAAAAAGGTGGCATATATGAGCAAAATAGGTATAAGCACAAGTTATTGTCGATTGAATAGTGCTGCAGTTAGACACATGCACAACATAACATTCCCTTGCTTAGTTTAGCTGCTACCACAAAGCCTACCGATCAGATATTTGTTAAATTCTTTATGATTTGTAAAGTCAGCCAATCAAGAGCCATAAACAATCTTTATTTATTCCATGCAAATATTGCACACTAAATATTTTAAATAATTATTTTATAAGTACCACAGTAAAGATCCTTACATTATTCACTGATGTGAATCACATGCACATGCATTTTTAGCAATGTACATAATTTTGTTCATAGTACATTATTCAGGCCACATAATTTTACATTGGGTAGAATGTGTCATGCAAATTCAGACCCATCAAAACCAAAAAAAAGTTTTCTCACTTGTTAACTTGGTATCTGTTAACACAAGGCTGAACCAATGAATCAGTACATTTCATAAGTTTTCCTTCCCAACGTAATAGAAAAAAACATAGCTGGTAAAAGAGAGACAGTCCATTGTGTTCAGAAAATAAAACTAGCTTGACAAGTCTTGTTATTTCCAAAACAATGTACAATAAATGATGCAAGTAGTTACCTTTTCCCAGGTAACGTGACTTATCGTTGTCTCTTAGTTCCAATGCTTCATAAATTCCCGTAGATGCTCCACTAGGGACAGCAGCTCGAAACAAACCTGTTTTAAAACCAGCAGATTAGTATTTGTTCTGCTTGTAATGCTTGTATACTGAACCATCTTCATTTTCAGTAATCTCGCTTTGGAAAGAAATGTCAAGGAGAATCACCTCTATCTGTGTAGAGGTCGACCTCTACAGTGGGGTTGCCCCTAGAATCAAAAATCTCACGAGCATGTATCTTCAGGATAGACATGTTCCTAAAAATAAATTATAAAGAAAGAACAATCAGCTTCTGCTGAAATAGTTATCTCTGCAAATCTAACCACATATCTAAAGGAGATTTCAAGGAAACCTGAGAACACCATCTGCTTTACAGTAATACTGCAGTAATACTTTGTTTGCTTTTAGGCAGACAAGAGACAGATTTAATTATAGAAGGGAAATATCGGCATAACTTAATCGACATCTTTTTCAAGCAAATACATGATTAATAGCTTTCAAAATGCATATTGTATATTGAAGATGGCGTCGTGGGAAGCTCAGGTCTAATTGGATTATCAACTGTCACTCTCTGGGCATTATGCTATCAACAGAGAACAGAACAGAAAGCTTACTCAAGGGGTCTAGACGTTTTTGCAACAGGCTACACATAATAAAAACATCACAAATTTTATTTGTTAAACTTTACAGTATTGTGAGCGACAATGCCCAGTCTCAAACTCGGTCATTTCCTTCCTGGAATCAGATTTTTCCCCGTATAGTTTGTTCTGCAAATATTTAATCTAATTACAGTGTGTGAATACGAGTGGGCGTGATGGAAAGCATGACTCATCACGGTCCTCAATGTCGAGTGCTTATTCGTGGTGACTCTCATCCAGCACTACACTCGAGACTGAGAACTTAATGCTTTCTGTCTAAAGATCTAAATGTTCTCGTACTACGGTTGCATAAGGCTAAGACTAAAGCAGAAGCCTGGTTACAATATAAAACATATGTAAAGTTAGCCAGTTTATAATACAACGCTCCTTACCTCGGCGAAACGGTATAATTAAAGCGCAAGATGAAGAAATCAAGCTCTCATTCAAATTCACACTCAACGCTGGGCGGCTCTGGTTAGGAGAGTGTTATCAGAGTGTGCTCACTCTCAGAGAAAACTCACCCATAGGGAGAGATTATAGAAAAGATTACTTGGCTAGAATGGCTGCACGTCTAGAAACAAGTGTTGTGGAAATGGGCGGGGCTTTGCGGTCAGGATGTTGCCGCTGTTTGGTCGGATTTAACATAATTTAAAAAAATAAACTCCTATATTTTAACACTTTACTGTGTATTTGCAGTTAAATGATTATTAAGTACATCTTATTAAGTACATTAATGTACATCTGAATGATACAGATGTAAATTATTATCCAGACGTCAACCGAAGGGGACAGAGTTGTCACGTGTTAGTTGTTACTTTTCTCAACACTGCTTAGGCTTGACCAATCACAGTCATTATTTCATAGCAATTGTTTTGAATTATTTTCATCTGTATGGGAGATAAGATGCCTGGAATTATTAGATTTACTATTGTTTAAATGATTATGCTTTTTAAGTGTACAAATGTCTAAAATAAGTTACAAAAATGTATCTGAGATTGGAATGCAGCTCAATGGAGAATTCGTCTTCCTGAGCAGTCATGCGCTCCCTTGAGGAAGATACTTTTTGCCTCAGAAAAAACGGTGCTACCTCGTAACATTTTCCACCCAATGGGGGAGATGACATGATGGAGAAAGTTGTAGTGAGTCCGTTCTCCAGTAATTTAATAGGCTATACGGTGTTTTGTTTTTATATTGTTATCTGCCATGGTTTGATAAAGTTCCACTAGGCCTATTTTAAATCAGGACTATTAAGAATCTAAAATGTTCGACGTAATCAAAATCGTGATTAAATTTCAAGCCCTGGTCTTAAAATCGTGTAGAAACAATATAGAAGAAATACATTTTGTCACTGTCCTTATGACATGCATATCACAGCAAGAGAATGATGCAGTCATATGATACCAATCTGTTAAATGATATCTCAAATTCATAATCTTAGATTGTTAAATCATTAACCTTCTACTATATTCTTGTCTGGAGGGAAAATGTGATGCAATGAACAAGAGGCACAATAGAGTGTTTGTGTGCTGGAGAATCCTGGCAACTCATTCCCTTGGGCCAGTAATCCCTCAGGTCATTGCCCCCACCCTCCCTCCTCCATTCCCTCTTTTTATCCCTCTCTCTTACAGTCTCACATACAGGTGTATTTGCCCTCATGTACAGTTTGTTTCCTGGAAATGGTTGATGTTTTGTCGCTTCTTTCAGGTACATGGTTTCTCAGGAGGCCTTGCTGACAGCCAGCTGATCCCCATATTCCTCCATCCTCTCGTCTCACAAATCAGACCTCGGGGATCTCATTAGCAATCCACAGGCTTTTGGATATAGTGAGGCATTGACCTGTTGCCTGGGTTACAGCACAGTCCCCATGTCCCAGCATTAACTCCTGCTAGGGTTGGAACTCTCATATCCTTTGCACAAACTAAAAACAAAATCACAATCTACAATAAATCTACATTTTTATTGACTGCACAAGTATAATTATTTTAAGTGTATATCAAATATCAAAAACCACAGAGCCCCATATCTATTTTTTATTGACACAAGCAGTTTAAATAATTATTTTTACTGTATGTGCATCATATTTGTGCATGATATTTATGCATAAATCTACTGACCTTCATTTTACCTGCCCTTTTTGAAGCGGCCCATGCAAGTAATGGTACTGAGCCCTGACACCTGTTTAGAAGGCCTGTCATGAACAAAGAAAGAGCACAAGCACTTCATCGTCCCAATGAAACCTAATACAGCTCTAAATGCCAAAATCAGGATTTAATAGTGCTTTTAGAGTGTGTAACTTTATTTTTATTGTCGACAAAGTATGTTTTCTATCTGCACAGTCAAGTTCCAGATTTATGTTCAAAGTTGAAATGTTAGGTGGACAGAATTCTCACTTTTTCTTAAAATTTTTAAGTTTGGACTGATTAGCCAGTCTGAATTTAATAGTCAACTTGTCCGAATGAATTGAATTCATACACAAGTAATTTTTAATAATGTTAAACATTGATAATTATTACCTTGCATAATAATAATAATTAATAATAATTCATTACATTTATATAGCGCTTTTCTCGGCACTCAAAGCGCTTTACATAGAGAGGGGAATCTCCTCAATAATCATTTATCTATCATGTTTTCTGATGATATGTTTGAATTAGAAATGATTTCGGTTTAATAGTCTTTATTTTATTTTTTTTGCATTCAAATGAATAAAAATTGCAAAGTAAGAATAGTAAAAAAAAAAAAGTATATCAGTTGGGCCTTCGGTTTGTCTATTCAACACCTCAATGGAGTTTATTATCATTGTAAACAATTCAAATGATCATAGGAGCATACAAAGGACACATTTACTGATTGTCGATCGTCTTTTTTAACTTGAATCTAATGATGAACATTAGAAAGGAGAGTAAACCTTAAAAATAAAGAGTTGAGGAGGCTTATTCTTGTCTTTTGCCCTAAGTCTTGAGCAGAACAAGAGACACAGAGGATGGGGCGTGGTCTTTTTGAAGGTTAAAACCTTGTCTCATTTGTGTACTCAGAAACCCAGTGGCACTTCCACACTAAACTAACCAATCACAGAATACAAGACACACCTGCTCATAGAAGAAGAGCAGGGATTGGTCACAGAGTAAAAATGACACCTGGGCAGGGCTCCAAGGTGTACCTGAAAACCTAGATGTTTTGTAGGAACGGTTTCTTCGCTTCAGGAGCTTTAGGAGATTGTGTTTCTTCTCGTGCTTAAGACTCCATTAGTAATGTTGTGTCTTCTTCAGCTGTCCTCAGACCGGTTCGAGAGGTTTGGCCTAGCGTGGAAGAAGCAATCATACCTTTATCAAGAGGAAGGAGCAGGAAGTGATCTTCCTCAGCGAAAGCGACGCTGCGACACAATGGCATCTCTTGTGCATGACTCCATACTGAATGACTGCAACAGGAATTGATAGGGTAACTAATCGTTATTTTTAATTCTTCTTAATATATTCAACAATTTGACCAAATAATTAATTAATTGCAAATAAATGTCTTTGTATGTCAGTTATTATGTACAACAGAAATGCTAATAGTAAACTATAAAAAAACAATAATATGGATTTAAACATACATAGTATTTTAGATTTTTTTATACTTACAAAAATTCCTTTCTGACTTAAATATAAAAATGAAGTATGCATTTTAGTATGATATGTCAATCATTGAATTTTTTTAAACACAATGGACTATGAGTGCCCAGCATGTTAACTTTCACTTCCGTAATGTGTCAAACCTGTTTGATCAGTTTAAAACAAAGGGGTAAGAAGTGCAATATGTAAAGCATTGCATTTAAACAAATTCTGTGAAATATACAATAAACAACATACGTTTTTAAAGTTATAATTTAATGGCGTTAAACATGAAATAGACTTGTTGCATCTGAGAAACTGTTTAAAGACTTTAAAAATGCTCTCATACGCATTATTTTTCTTCTCTTAATAAAAAGGTATTGGTGGTAACAAGAGAAAGGACACAACAATAGAGCCAAAACATAAAGACTTGCTTAGCTTGGTTTCAGTAGTAAGTGAGTTATCTTGAATCTTATCTAATCTAACGTACAGGTGAGGGGTCAGTCAGGTGCACATCAGGTTTAGGTGACAAAGATCAGCCATTTTGATTATCATGACTAAGCGCTTTCCTTACCACTGACGTTGTGTGGTTGTAATGGGATTTGGAGGCTGTAGACACAATTTTGTTTTGATGAAGGTGCGACCAATTAGTTGAACTCTCTCAGGTCAAGGAGGCGTCTCAAAGGTCACAGTTGCCAAGCAGACAGGGCAAGGTATACACTTAAGAAGAAAACTTCTGGGGTTTCAATGTTTGTCTAGAAAATGAGTAGGAGTTACAGCAAAGTGGAAGTGGCCCAGTCAAAATGACCATGAACGGCTTACATCAAAAGGATTGGGGTCTGATGCAAGCTAAGCGACGTATTAAGCTATTAAAAATGAATGACGGGCTAGTCAGGAAAATAGATAATCATTAACGAACACCTTACGACGTCTTGCGAAAGTACACTAACTATGATTTTATAGTGACACACAATATGAAAAGCATAGAGTCTTCCCTCCTGTTTCAGATGATCTACATTGGATGCCCATCTCCATCTTACAAGGCAGTTTTGGATGTTATATCTTCTCTAATACTGCCTGGTAATGATGCAGATGGTCCTCTGCGGGCATCGTTAAAAATGCTTTGCATCTGGGTGTGGACACGCAGACTATGCAAATATGCGCACATACAAATACACAATGGAAAATATGCCATGGTGAAATGTGTGTTCTTTGGCTGCTTTGAATGCTATATGATGCTAAAGAAGTTCATCTATTGTCTCTAGGGTACATCTTACCCGGCAGTGCTTGGCTGTTCACTGATGTTCTAACACTGTCTGGTAACGATGCACTCTGGGGGCTCAGTCACCGTGCATGGAGTTAATTGAATATGAACATAAAAGTGAAGTATATGAAATAAAGCATGTTGGCATGTGACTAGAATATGTTTTTTAAATCAAATCAGTGATTTAAAATGGAAAAACCAGTTGAGACGGCTTGATTGATATAAAAGGAGTCTGATTAAATACCAGAGAAGAAAATAGACCATCAGGTCTGAACCGCACCCTGTTTCATCCAAATGCCTGCATGAATGTCACGAAAGTAATTCCTCCATATCACACACCCTCTAATGTGTGCTAGTCAAGATCAGTTCATCCTCCTTTTCTTGTGTCTTATTGTGTGCATGACACCTGAGATCTGTGTGACAACACTAATTGAACTGCACCTACACAGTTCACCTTTCCTGTTTGCTGTACAGAACAGGAAGTGATGATTTGAAACCCATTTTACTTCTTTTCCTGGTCATATAATGGAAAATGCAAAGAAGCTAACTTTTAAGCAATTTAATGATAAAAGAAACATGCAAATAACCCACACACTCAAATATGACAAATATTGTTTGTTATATCTATGACCCAGTAAAATATTTTGTTTGTATTCTGAATGTGAAGAAGGAATAATGTCACTTTCTGTTCATTAAGTAATTGCAATTGTTCACCGAGAAATGAAAATTCTGTCATCATTTACTCAACTTCATGCACTTGTTTTTGCCTGAACAAAACATTATACATAACCTGATCAAGTTTACATCACAATCTATATGGATGCTGACTCTTCTGACATTGACCCTTTAGGTTTATGGTTTATTAACCTGCCATGATGAATATCTGCTTGCACTTTATGCTTTACTAGACCCTTTAAACAGTTTCCTTTAAGACCTTTCTCCTGAAAAAAAATAACCACTTTAATTCGTCATTTTCTTTTTGTCTGCTTTCATCTCTTCTAGTCACATGACATCAGACCTTTTCTTCTGCCTCTCCGCTGCAGTAAAATCCTTTGATTTGTGTCTTACCAGGCAAGGTTAGATGTTGATACTCTGTCTAATACTGCCTGGTAATGCCATCAATCACGAGGAATTTGATCAACATTTATCCTTTTCCTAATGTAGTGACACTGTGACAATGTAACATTGACACATTTTTAGAATTGCTGTCTAATACAGTATTGAGTATGTATTTTCTTTTGACGTATTAAAGAATATGGATCTGACTGTTCCTTGTTTAATTGTATTCTTATTTTGTATTTAAGTCAATTAATGCAATAAAACAAGATTTACATCAAATATAGACTTTGTGTGTTACTTCCAGATGAAACACAGTGTTGAAATGACCAATGAAGTTTCATAAACTTTCCCTTTTTTTCTGATTATAAGGATTTTTATACATCATTGAAATTGCATATTTTGATTGGCTATATACAAAGCATTTTTTAATGATAACAATTATACTTTGTGGTGTACAAATAGGCCTATATCCAGTAAATAGTTTTCTTTGAACAAAATCTCACAAAGTGCAATAGATATTTTAGAATATACACACTACACACTCACATTCAATGAACATTAGATAAAAGAGAAACTTAGAAAAACAAAAAAATCCAAAATTATATAGTAAAAATATGTAAAAGGTTCATCCACATATCTTTACACTCTCAATGAACATTTCTAAAACATTTCTAAAATGTTATAGTTGCCTATATATATATATATATATATATATATATATATATATATATATATATATATATATATGATATATGAAAATAAAGCCATATATATATATATATATATATATATGTATATGTTCATTGAGAGTGCAAAAATATGTGAATGTACCTTTTACTGGATGTATAAAATAAAATCAGGCAGCGTGGCTTTTCATCCAGTCCACTAGATGTCAGCACTTACATTGTGAAGTCTTGGCTGTTTACAATAACGAATAAACCAAAGTGTGCTACTACTTCCTTATCACGCTTTGCGACATAATTTAAAATAATAAAAACAATAACACATTCTGTCTTAACTGTATTTGCTAATCAACAGACATGACTGGAATACCGCCGGATTCGTGGCAACCACCCACAGTATCAATGGATACAACGTAAGTTGCACAGTACATTAGTATTAGAATTGTGAATGAATGAGACACGTATTGATAATCAGTATAGCTGTGATCATATATGTGTAAATAAACGTTTAGCTTTTAATGCTTGTTTGTATGAATGATGCAGAAGGGTTAAAGATCACTTATTGTTCTAGATCAGAGTGCTAACTTTACCAATGTCCGACTAATTTCGTTCTTCGGAATTTGCATCATTTAGACAAGGCTGAAGGATGTTATATGCTAGTTTTGGGCGTAATTAATTACTAAGTAATCTAATTTAAGTTACTGTAATTTAATTTTACAGTAATTCAATTTCCCTTGAATTAACATACTCTGAATTTTGCTGTAACTTACTTCTGTAAGGACTTCTGATGTAATTGCATTAAATACTGCATAGATTATAAAACAATAGTGGATTTAACATCAACATTTTATGTTATTTTTATTGTAATTTCTCCCTTTACACACAGTCTATCCTTGGATTGTTCAACTAACTTTAGTTGAGGTATAGGATATGGGATTTAGAAAGTAATGTTATCCAATACATTGTATAGAGAGCAATTAGTAGTCTAATTACTCTGTTGACGATGTAATTAGTAGCTAGTAATTAAGGTAACACTATTTGACAGTGTCCTTGCTGCATGTTACATGAAGTTACTGTAATAATAACTATAAATAATGCATAATTACATGCAACTAACCCAAACCAACCCCTATCCTCCTAACCCTAACTCTATTAGATGTTGTTAATTAAGATATAGAGACCTTAAAATAAAGTGTAACCTTTATTAATGACTTTTTAGAGCAACTTACCCAACACTGAAGCTCTTACATACATGAGTGTGTTTGTGAATTTCTAAATGTTGTATGGCAAATTCTATATTCACAAATAAAAAACTGCAAAGTTTATCTATACCAAAATGAGTCGCTGAAATAGTAATTAATGCTTATTACCAAAACAATGACTCCGTGTAATGTCCTTCCTTACTCTACATTTCCAAATATAATAGGTTTAGAATTTGATTTAGGGAAAATTAAGGTTTTTTTAATATATTGAATTTTTATTTTAAGTAATCTTGATTGTCTGTTATCAGTCATCTGTTTTAATCTATAACTTGTGAATCATTTCTTGATAAAAAATAATAATTTATAAACAGACATTTGGTTTGCTTGATGCTTAAATTAGCAACCCACCATTAAAATTGAATCAGCTATTATATCAAATTGTTTATCTGCTCTAATTCAATTTTGTGAAAACTGGTTAGAAAACAGTTAGACCGGTCCAATTAAAAGATCCAGTTCATGTATGAACAATTCATACATGAATCAGACATTGCTAGTAGACATCAACCTTTAATAGCATATTACCACATACCCTCACTTCACATTGTCTTTTCAGGATGGGAACTATAGGGATAGAACTGTACTGGAATCATGCGCCAAAAACATGCAAGAATTTTGCAGAGCTGGGCAGAAGAGGATATTACAACAACATCAAGTTCCATCGCATCATCAAAGACTTTATGGTTCAAGGGGGCGATCCAACAGGCACAGGTGAGACAGCCATGGAAACAATACTCATTCGACATTTCATTTGACAGTTCAATATGATGAATCAAAGTAAGGCTGTTTTAAGAAGTCAAATTCTACATAGTTGTTACAGAACAATTGGTGAATTAATGTCAATAATTTGCTTTACCAAGGGAAACCATGACTACTTTAGTCTTCAGTACCATAATAGATTAATGTAATTTAATTTTAGTTTGTTTGGGTTGTTAAAAACGGAAGCTTATCGCATTCACTAAATCGGAAACAAAATCGACGGTTTTTCTGAATTAGTAGTTTATTATCTCAGAATTACAGGGTCATTTTTCATGGAAAAAAAGTTTTTGCTCTGTTTTTCTAAATTAACGAGTTAATTATCTCAGAATTATGAGATCATTTTTCATGAAAAAAAAAGTTTCTTCAAGTAAATGCAATACACTTCTGTAGTTTAACCATTAAGAGCATTTTTAAGAACATTTTTATGACAAATTTCTGCAGGTCGTGGTGGTGCATCTATATATGGCAAGCAATTTGAGGACGAATTGCATCCAGAGTTGAAATTTACAGGTGAGTAGAAATACAAGAGTGGATTTAATAGTTCTGTAAATAGCATTAATGAGCAGAGCACTCAAGTGCTATGGAAATATTTTGTCGTTTTATAAAAAATATCCAGCATAAGAACTATAGGTAGTAGCTTAGATTTTTAAATTGTAGATCAGCAAGTGTTTGAATACTCAGGTTAAAGTGAATCTAAAGATGTATGGACTTGCTTGGCTGTATTGTAATTGTAAATTCTCACAGCACTTGATCATAATAAATGTCAGCAATATAGTAAAAGTGGGTTGAATCGTATTTATCCTAATATCATTGCTTAATTTAATAATAGATTACAAGTTTATTCTAACTCAATCTGACTTGAAAACCATAAAGTCTTCTCATAATTTTCATGATATATATATATATACATTTTTAATTTGTTTATATTTTGTAGGTGCTGGAATTCTCGCAATGGCCAATGCGGGGCCAGATACAAACGGAAGCCAGTTCTTCTTCTCATTGGCTCCCACACAATGGCTGGATGGGAAACACACTATATTTGGACGGGTCTGCCAGGGCATTGGAGTTCTTAATCGTATTGGCATGGTTGAAACCAACAGTCAGGACCGTCCTATTGATGACATAAAGATTCTCAGAGTTAATGTACCTAACTAAGATGTAACATTTTATGCCTTATTTTTGTACTGTCCTTTTATTACATTAAACTTTCAGAGTTTTCATTAAATATGTTCTCTTGGTTACCCCGAGAGTACAAATCCCTGGACGGAGGGTGGGGTCTTAACTATACGAGTTTGGGTTAAATATAGGGAAACTGTCTTTTTAATGTGTACATTCCTTTACAAAATGCTAAATGACACACAGAAAGGTGAGTAATTATTTGGCAACTTGCATGAATGTAATTGGAGATGACAGTTATGGTTTCAACTCACTCGCACTACATTAGTTGTTCACAGATCAGTAAAGATGTCTGGGTGTTTGAAATCCTTTCTTTGAAACAAAATAAGAGAAAACTATCATACAATTTTTAACATCCAATATGGAGATAAAGTGTACTAGTGCCACAGCACAAGGTCACCAACAAAATATGTCATTTATAACTGCTGGCAGACATGATAACTAGCTTTAAATACGGTTAAATACAAATAGCATACATAAAAATTGCAACGGTATCTTGGCCTAGCAGTGCCTTTTTTTTTTTTTGGCAGAACATCAGTTTGAAGCAATGTCACTGTAATCCTGAGTTTATGGACAGATGTTTTTTATGATCCTAGACTTCAAAGGATTTTTATTGAAAATTCACATTTCAGAGTGCAACTATCCTGGATTAAACGTAATCTGTGTCTATGGAAAAAAAGTAAACAAAACCAGGGAGGTTGTGACCCACAGAATCCTATTATTTTTGGAGCCCAAAACCTTTTAAATGGGCTCTTGTTGAGTTCATAAGCTGTTCATCATCCCATGAGGAATAAGTAGAATAAATCATTTGAAAGCATTGCTTTTTATCATCCGGGAGATGGGCAAAACGAACAGACTGAAAGAAAAATGATTTACCTTCTACGTTCTACCCCATATAAATAAGGATGATTTGCAGTATGATCTGATAGACGGTAAAATGATTCTGCTGCACATTCTGTAAATAAATAATCTGTTATACAAAGTATAATGAATCTAAAAAGATATTACAATGTGAGATTAAACAACTTATTTATCTACTAGAAAAATACATTTATCTCTTATACATGGTCTTTTCTTCCAAACATATTGGTGCTGATCAAGCACATTTTACATAATGCCCTCAAGGTATGTGAAACACTGAATATCACTGACAGAAATATCAATAAAGCTCTTACCATTGGATAAAATAAAAATTGCCTGAAGGCTCAGTTTATCTCATAACTATACGAGATAAACTATATGATATAGATATTTTCTATATTCTAACCCACTGAGCAGTAACAGGCAAACACCATGGTTTAAAAAGTGCAGATGATTAATAATAGATATTTAATTAATATTTATTATTAATTACATTTGTACGTTATGTTTTAAAACATCCTTGAGTAGGCGTTTTTCCCTTTGCAAATTTATGATGTGTAAAATGTGTTGCCACTTCTACGTGTAAACGAGATTTATTACCTCTTAAAATCTTTCATTTCTTTGTTTCTTCTTTTACAAGCTCTTATAGTGTAGCCTTTGCTGCCATCTACTGGACTAAGCAGACAGTTAACAAAAGTACAGTACACAATGTTCACAATTTGTTTTTCACGAACTATCCGTCTTGTTCTCAGACATTCAAACATGTAACAATTGATGATATTTCCATGTTTTAAACATGTTTTAATGTTGACATTACATTTAATCACATTCATTTTTATTATACAAGCCTTTCTCTTCAAAAGTTTATATGACTGAAAATAACATTCAACATGGGGCATGCCTGCTTTGCATCATAAGAATGGGGAAGGGTTGTGACAGTAACATCAACAGACTATAGGAGATCTCCAATCTGTTTATAGAGACTGCAATGTCCATCTAACGGAATGACTGTCAAGGCGTTGCTCTTTCTACAAATGGCTGTGGCAAAAGTATAGTGTCTGGTTGCGCCAACACAAACAAACACAGGAGAAGCTGACTGCAACTGCATACCTATATATGTTATGTACATACACAGAATTACATACTTACAAGAAAATGTAAATACTGTATATAAAGAAACAATCAAAAAAATCTAATTGAAATCGGAATTCTTGAGACGAAACGTTAACATTAACACATCTTTTCATCAGGGAGGATAGAAACATTGAGTGTAAATCACCTCATCTGAGCATTTTACAAGTCCATCTCTGTGTGGTACATTCATACAGAGAGTAAGACCGTTTGAGAGCGAAACAGTTTGAAGAGCTTCAGAAATGCAGTCTCCGTTACAGAGTCCATGCATTGCACTCTCTTTAACTCGGACACATTTGAGACACATTCACATTAATGTACAGTACATCACAGTCATTGAGCTTCGCCTAAGCTTTATTATGACAATGCAAGTCTACCGCCAATAGGACAGGTCATTCGATAAGGTCACTGCAAAACCCTCTTCAAGTGGAATACCATCCCAGGTTTAGATGAGAAACTTAATTATGATCGCTCGACGAGTGGCGGTATTCCATAACTAAGAGGTTCAATGTTGTTTTCATGGAAACAAAAGTTTCAACTTTAGGTCAATAAGCACATTCAGTCATTGCACTTCTTGGTAAATTTGGAAAAATCAGGATTTCACACAGGGATTTACAGTACTTTCAGATGATTGCTCACCCCATTGCAATTTCAGTGCAACTAACCTGGGTCTAACATGTAACTCAAGTGCTGATTTCCCCTGAAAATGAGTGAAAATAATGATGTGCATGGAAGATATATAAAACAAAAACCAACCAAGCGACCAACAAAAGAAGCATTTACACTCCAAAGCGGCCCCACGCAATCAAAGTCAACACAGGATTCTAGTTAGTAGTGCTACTGTACCTTTAAAATTCCACTATAGCTACACGTTATTGTAAAAGAGTGGATGAAAATCACTTATGGCACAATCAAGTTCTCTATGATCCCACACCTACAGACAAGATGACTAGATTTTTTTTCCCTCAAGCCTGGTTTAAATACACATATAGCGCATGTTTATCAAGATGAGGCCTGAGAAAGACAGTAAACTACTGCTGATCCAGTCCTTTCTGAATGCACACAGACACAGCTGTGACTTGTATCACAGAACATGTTCTTGAACAACTCAAACAAATTCTGATATGACTCCATTAGCTGTTATTGCAAAATGTTTATCATACCACAATAATAAAATATAGATGTTAAAAACTAGATCGATCCTCTGAAAAGTGTCTAAAAGTGTCCAAATAGTTCATCATCGCATTCTTAAAGTACATAATAAGTCTATGTAATCGTGATTGTGAGTGTAATATGTTGATTTTATTTGGATTTCCTATTTGGCAGCAATATTGTATTGAACTGCAAGGCTTTTGAAATTAAAAACGTCACAATGATGTAGCGTGTCATTTTTAAAATAGTTTTAAATTAGAAAAATTTTGGTGATAAAAAAATAAATCACATTACTCGAAACATTTTCGTTAAGAAACAAGATACCTGTACCTGGCCCTTAAAATATTTCCTTTCAATTATGGCTTCTCACAGAACGTGATGTTTCATTCTCACATGATATTTTTTTGTTCTCAGTAATTATCAACATTTTGTTAATAATCCACAATAAGTCAGGCCCACAAAGCCCTGCACCCAGAACAATATGGCTGCCAGTGAGATTTTGAAAAACTAGGTCTATGTCCATACCAAGCAAGTAAGATAAAAACCTCAGCTCTTGGAGGTCCCTAGCAAAATTTTCAGTATAGCTACATCAGTATTGTTGGTGAGAAATAAATTCTTTTTCAGGGCTGCGTGAACAACCATAAGACAGCGAATGCTAAAACTGAAAGAAAAAAAAAAAAGATGTATGCCCATTTTATGACAACAACTGTGTTATAAAAATAGTTGATTTATGAAATTCCAATGAAAAACAGCAGTAATGTTAGGGACTATAAAATATCACTTTTAACTAATTTGGATAGATAAAATGGGATTTCACTGGGAATACACTGACATGTCGGGTTTTTTAGTGTACTTGTAGACAAAACATTATAAAGTCCTGAACTGATCATGATGTAATTGTAAGGAACAGCTGCATTTATGTCTTACATGTTGCTGATTGTTAGCCCTAAAATTCAACATTTACCAATGGCACATTATATTTTTGGCACAATATGTTCAAATACAGTTATTATTCAACATGAAACTGCAGTTTAAAAAAGACATTAAATAATACCAAGGTTGATTCTGTGGTCTCCCATACCACCTTTGGTATCTCTAAAACGACTAATCTACCAACATCTACTTGTACGAATAATTCAAATACGAAACAATAAATAAAGGAATAAATAAATTGACAGACAGCGAGCTAGATAAATAATTCTAAATTAAATAAATATGTTTTGCCTCATGATTCCTGGCATGATACTTTTTAAGATATAAAAAAATAATTAACATTCTTCCCTCTGAATATGCATATGGTGCTTTACATAGCTTTACAAAACATAAATGTACATAAATACACTCTTGGATTCACAGAAAATTGTCACTCTCAGGTTCTCTATATATTATCACATTAGGGACATGAGAATAGTCGTTTTAATTGTATTTTACTTTCTGCTTCAACTATCTACAAACAGTAATACCCTTTTTTATAATTGAAAATATTGATTTACTTTATGTTTCAATGCAAATGACTGCTGAGGACTCAATTTTGGGGAGAGTGAAAAACAAAAATAACTGACCGCATTCTAGTAGGAAAAGAGACGGACATAGCTAAATAAAAAAAGGACCAGCAATGGTTCTCATAGCTAAAGCTTGAGCAGGTACTGAACAAAATAAGCTCATTTTTGGATCAGAATTAGCCTCCCTTTCTATGCGTTTTGCTGGGCCAAAGTAGCACTTCCATCTCAAAACCACCAAGAACCCATGAAGACTATTGATCATATTCTGAATAATTACTTTTAATTGGGTAAACTTTATTTTACCATCCCTTAGTGGGAATTCTGAAATTAGGAGAGGCTCAGTTACAATTTAAGAAAGATAAGTGCAAACTGAATTGATCAAATCAATTCCTGAGGATAGAAGAGTCAAGAGGCATTCAAATACGGAACAATTCGCTCTCTTTAACCTTGTTGCAGCCACCACAAAGCTATATGGGAACTGAAACAAACAGCATGAGAGAAACTGCTGGAGTATCTTTATCATGATGAAGAATGTTCAGTTATTTGAAAGCTTGATCTATTTTTTCATAATTATAGTATTATCTTACATGTGATAATGAAACACTTATGGTGGTGTCAAGTCTTTTTCTGCTCAAGTGTCAAAATACTATTCTGCCTATACTGAAAAGTAAAAGAATAGTTCACCCAAAAATGATTCATCCTTTTATCACTCAAAATATATATATATATTTGTTATCTAGCAGGTTGCTGTCTTTCATTGTTGGGTGAAGTATCCCTTTAAATTACCAACAAACCATAAAATGACAAATAACATAAAAATAACTAAATAAGAAACACTGCAGAGGGTTTCCTGAATCAAATATTTTTTCCGAACCCAATTCTTTGGCCCAAAGGCCAGACAGCTACCAAGAACCATATAATAAGTAGTTCACTGTCATCTCCCAACCTTCCCACACAAAATGTGAGGAAAAAAATAAATAAAAAATGCTCAGTGCTTGGCTCAACAGTTACTATTTCATCAAGCAGCAGTTGGTATGAATGTAGAAAATGAGAAAATATCACTTCATGATAATGGTGGGAGAAAAATACCACCAAAACTCTCTTTCCTGAAAATTTTTCCCCTCATTTATATTCCTGGCATACCTGTAACTCTCTCGATCCCTTTTTTCCCCTCTCACAGAGGCAAGTCGGTGCTGTTGTGGCGTGTCTTCCGCGAGGTGCCGTCATCCCGAGGGAGAGCCTTCTGTAGGTTGGACATGGCTGCGGTCTTCTTTAGGTCAATCACGGCGTAGCATTCTCCGCGACGAGAAGATGGAGCCGCTGCGGCGGCGGCTGCCATGCCACGTTTGAGGGGAGGAGGTCTCTGTGGTACCGGAGCCCCTCCTCCGTGTCCCGAGCAACCAGAGGGCTCACCCTCCAGGTCCACCTGGATGTAGTTGAGCTGGCGAGAGGGAGGAGGCGGCGGGTGACGGCTATGCTGCTCGCAGGTGGCGCTGCCACGTCCCGCTCGCTGACGTCTGAAGTCGAAGTTGAAAACCCGGTTGGCCCTCTCGGCTGGGTGAGGGTGGGGATGGCAAGCGTGACGAAGACGTGTTGGAGGCTGTATCTGTTAGAGTTTGCACATTTCAGAGTTACCACACTTTTTGACTAATTTTTTAAAAACTCCCTTTTGCTTCAACTCTCAATACCTAGCCAACTAAATTATTTTAGACTTGAGCATAAAATGTATAAAAGTATACAATCACTACATAAATGTTCTTGACTTTCATGTGATCTTTTTTATATTCATATTGTATCATCATTTTTATAAAACTCTATTTTATGTGATTGAAATGAGATTTTTGAATTTATCTGACTTTTCCAAGCTGTACAATTCCTTGATATTTCCCTGGAATTAGATTTGGCCTATTCCTTACATTTACTTGCTTGTGCTTTTGTTGATGTGCGAGTTTAGTAGTTACAGGTTTTTCAAGTCTCTAAGAGCAATACTACTTGTAGAGCTAAACATAACTATAATATACAGTATATTGTTATATTTATAAAAAAAAATCCATATTTTACAGTTCCCTGATATGTAATTAGATTTGGCATATTCTCGCAAGCGACATGTGTTTGCTTGTGCTTTTGTTAACACACCTGTTCAGTGTTGACGTAGTTCTGCAGAGCATCACGATGAATCCCACCGCCACTCTCCTGATGATATCCGTTTGGGGTTGTGGGCCCTTCAGAATACTCGTACTCATCATATTCTTCTTCCTCTTCCTCCTCATACTCATCCTCGTCCTCATCTTCATCCTGATCCTCTTCTTCATCACGCTGAAGCGCACGGTATTCCCAAACCGGGGGGAGCGAAGGAAGGTTTTCATAGTTGAGCAAAGCGGTGCGCCGATGACCACCAACCCCCATTCCCCGGTCACAGCCATATCCCTGCGGAGGCAGCGAGGAAGCGTGCGTGTGTGTCAGCGGGAGGGAGTGCGGATGTGTGTGTGTGCGGGAGTCACCGGTGGTGCTGCTACTGCTACTGGAGCCCAAAGACTGAGATTGGGACACAGTGCTCGGACTTAGCCTTTGCCTACGCGCCCCTCGGAGTCCGTTGATATTCTCGTACGTCAGCTGGCTTTCTGAGCAAGGCTCCATGCTCGGGTGCCGGTGCATTAGATGATGGCAATGGTGATAAGAGTGTGTGTTGCACATGTGTACGGACGGAGTCTCCTCTCCTTCTGTTTCAGAGCTGCCATCTGGTGCTCGAAGCGGGTGAGTGACGTGACGGTCTCTGTCTCTCTCCATCATGTGGCGCTGTGCTGGGGTCGGACCCAACATGAACTTCACCTCCTGAGCTCCGGGCTGGAGGAAGACCTGAGGGTCTTTGTGAGGGTCGTCCAGAGGGCAGCAGTGCAAGCTGGGCTGGCCCGGGACCGGGCCCCCACGTATGGTTGTGGTAGTTGAGGTTTCCGGGTAGGTGGTGGGCCGCACTTCGGGCAGGGAGTGGACACAGTGGCGGCTTGAGAGGTCAGTGTCCATTCCCACTGTATTCACATATGTATGAGTCTGAAAACAAGCGAGAACATTTCGTAAGTTGCTACCGTATGGATTACCGTATGGATATTTTAACACCTGGAAAAAGGTGTGTGATGCACAGAATCTGTACAGTCTATTTTTAAAATTTTATCACCTAATTCATTTCAAGCAAAGTGAAATTACAAATACATGAATTGTCAGTGCATTTAAAGAGGCATTTATTCAATTCAATAGAACAAACACACTTTTTAAGTGAAACAATTCACTTATTAGAAGCTATGAGGTTTTAAATGTTTGTGAAACACAGTTAATGCTATTTACTTGAATCTGTGGTAATTCTGCTAGAACCATAGACAGTATAAGAAGCCATCTCATTGGAACTCCATTGAGACAAGTGAAGCCCGTTTTTGGCGATTTTTTAGCACTTCCGTTCCTGACGCGCAGACTCAAACCGACTCAAACAGAGCTTGACGACGTAGATGTGACGTGAACAACCCGTCTGTCTTCTAGTGGCTGTGGCATGAGAAATCTGAATCATTCCCTTCTGAAACTTGCAGAGACGGTCAGACGGAGAGTGTGAGTAGGAGCTGTCCATGAGCTTGGAGCACGAGACATTTTTGCTAGGTATTCTGATTAATTATTTTATCATTTTGCCTCCACATTTCCCTGACTGCCCGCAAGCTTTTCCTCCTGTCCATATGGTAATCTCTCTACTGTGCGACAGAGTCACATGGTTATGACGCAAAAAACTGCTTCTACTGGGCCATAACATAAGCTACAAAGTAATGGAGCATTTTATACATTGTCATGTTTCTTTAGAAATAAATAAAGGACAAATCGGGTCTTCAAACGCCTCAGATGTAAAGTTATTCGCTGTCAAAGTGACACCAAAATGAATGGGAGTCAATGGAAATGCTAACGCTCTGCTACAAGATGGCAGCTCCCGCGAGGCTTCAACTTCCGGTCGATGGATTACCCCGTTGAAATTATTTTTTGAGCTGAATTGGTTAAGGGTTCCAAAAATTACAATTCTATCATCATTTACTCTCATGTTAATCCAATGCTATTTTGGACCCAAATGGCAAAAACATTAGAAACATCATTCCACATAAATTGTTCTGAAGAAGAAAGAAAGTCATACAGGTATGGATTGACATGAGGGTGAGTAAATGATAATAAAATGGTCATTTTTGGGTGACCTTTCCCATTGCAAAATCAACTTTTTTTTTTAAATTTGTTTGGTTTGGTATGTTGTGGCTAATGCAGTCCTGCTTGTGCATCTCGATACTTTTTGTGGCTTCTGTATATGTGCACAGGCAGGTGTTTGTTCTCACTTGGTCATCCAGTCCCATGAGGCTGTGTCTGAGGTCGTTGGTGAGAGAGGGCTGTGATGAGTCTGCACTGATTGGGTATCCTGGGTATCCATTAGGAAAACCCTGCATCGGGAACGCTGGGGCTACACAAACGGAACAAAGCACAGTACACATAAGCAGGTGATATTTAGACATCCCTCCTATAAAGGTTCTGTTGATTATGAGCAAGACATAAGAATAAAGTTGTGGAAGGCATTTAATGAATGTAGAGATGTGTAAATACAGGTGGCTAGGTGTTTAAATGTGCATGCTTTTTTTTACTGATAAAAAATCCATACCATTGATGTGACATTTAAATTCATTTACATGTACATATGAGACCCTATTTGTTCAAGTGTGTTGATAGGCTATTCCAGCTCACTATTGGGTGTCTGTGGAGTTCGAGGCATGTCCATCTCCGGCGCATGCCCGGGCCGGGTCATGATCATAGGCTCTTCCACCACATTGATGCTGTTACACTGCATTAACTCCTGCAGCAGGTTGAAGATCTCTTCTGCACGAGAGCACTTGAATGCAAATATCCCTGTCAAAACATACAAGAATAATAAAAAAAGCAAGAAAAATAGTAAATGCATAGGTGGAGTGTCACTTTTATCCATGGGGGAAGGCGCAAAAACATATTGGCAGCATGAAAGTAAACTTAGTTTAACAATGACTACAATTAATATAAATAGTATGCACATTAAATCAACCACCCCCTCCTCAGAGTGCAACAGTCAGGTTCCAGAAGGAAAACTCATTCCATTTTCTCCATAAGGAAATTGATTTTGAACAATAACTTACAAACCTTTATAGATCACGATAGACTCACTGTGAGTTTAGAGGTTAACCAATGGTATGCTTCAGCAGACATAATTTTAACCTATTTTTTTTTTTAATAATTGTGTTTAATAGCTAAATTTATTGTGAAAAAGTACATTACCCATGATGCTGCTGTATAAAAATTCCATCAATCAGTCGCAACAAGCAAATCGGGGCAAAAGAGCCACCATGAAGCAATCCGAATGACGTTAAAATACTTAAAGCTACACTGTGTAACTCTTTTAGTTTATTCTTAGCTAAAAACACTTAGTTCTTACAAAAATATATGTGCTCATTAATGTATATTTACTTCATTCAAGTAATAAAGTATTCTCGAGAGTGTATAATATGCCATTGAAAATACATACGGGTAAGGGGTTCTAATGTCGGTCGCCATGTTGCCCCTCCATCTTGAAAGTACATTAGCCAAAGAGGGACATACCCGTTAATTCAAGCTTCCCCTTTCGCGTTTGCGTTTGAGTTAACACTCATGGACGAGGTCGAACTGGAAGCCATGTTAATCTTGGACTACATTGGCCACCGTAGGAGTTAAAACGAAATCGGAATTGAGAGGAACCGAAACTAATATTCACTGGATGGTCATATACCTTTTCACCACTAGATGGGGGTAAAAATCACACAGTGCAGCTTTAAATATATTTATATATTTTATCATTTATATATATATATATATATATATATATATTAAATTAAAGTCATTGAGTACATGGTCTTGTACATTTGTCTTTTTGTCTGTTTTTCAAATACTTTTTTGCTTCAAATAAAACTTTTTGCTTCAAATAAAAAGTGTGCGGATATTAAATGTACTCTATATATCTATGAACAAATGTAACACACAAATCAGTCTTACATCTGCATAATGTAAAGGTAAGAATCATCTCACCTTGTCCTGTCTGACAACGACGGCCACTCTCGAAAGAGAAGAGGTTGGAATCGTAACCATATCGCCGCAGGCAAAGGTATGGCCACCGGATGGCGTCACGTTTGCGTGTGTGCAGAATGAGCTCTGTCTGGGTGAGCTCCATGGTTCCTGAGCCCAACTCATTTCCCTCATCATCCACATTAGTCACCTGTCAAACAAACCCAGCTATCTCAGATCCAAATGTTGCTCTACAAAGCAAACTTAGCAGCTGTATATTAATGTGGCACTTAAAATATTTACCACCATAGTACAGTACTTTTTTAAAAAAAAGGTTTGTTTCTATGAGAAAGTATGAATACACAGGTGTCTTTTGAAAAGCACCTTGAATTTGTTGAGATGGTTGTCTTGGATAGCGTCTCTGTATAGACAGCTCCAGCAGCTCCCCATAGCTTCAGCAGGCCAGCTGAAACCTTAAACAGGGACAAACAGGTGAGTTATTTCTAGAAATATATGGAGACAGCTAGAAGGACGTTTATAATTTGTTATTTGTGCATAAAGAGATGACTGAAGACAAAAAGTACACTTATGCATGCTCACCTGGTCCAGGCCATTAGTGGGAGTGATGCTTGCGTCAATCCCAGAATCCTCTGCTGGGTGTCATGGCGGAAGTGGGGTGTGCTTGTAAGAGCATCCAGGCCCAGTGCACAAATATTTCATTTCTCCTATGAAACAGAGAAAAAGAAGAGACTTGATGTACAATCCTCCGAGCATACTGTCCCCTTTTTCATGAACTACTGTGATTAAGACACAGGGAATGAAGTTTATCTGTCTCCTCTGACTCCCACTAGAGAAATAAAACGTAATTACTTGGGAATCTTATTCTCAAGAGAAAAGTAGCTTGCAATTCATGGTTTCAAATTCAGCCCATAAGATGTGGACTGATACTTAAAAAAGATGGCTAGTAAATGATAACCTCATTTTGTATTTCAGGTGGCCTCAAAAAAAAAAAAAAAAAAACTAGTTCTGTGTGTCCAATTGAATGTCATAAAAATGATGCTGGTATGCTGAAACACAATAAAAATTAAACTTTTGATTGTGTGATCCCACCACGAAAAGTTGAGAATTGGGTCGACAAGTCTATCCAAATAGAGTACCATGTTTATGCATTGCTGTGCTACTGTGTTTCCCTAGTCACTGTAATAATGTATTATTATATTAAAAACCCATAGACAAAATTCCAACAGGTGTCATTACTTTCTGCAAGTGTGGAATGATCACTAACCACTATCTAATTCAGTGTAAACATGATTTTAGACCCATTCATGAACTATATCTCAAAATGAATGTCAGTAAACATGTTTAGAGTTTTTAAAAATATGCAAGAATAACATTGACTTCCTTAAAGTTTAAATTAAAGATCAATTTCTGCAAGTAACAAGTAATGTAAGTTCATCAACACAGCAGTTCATCAGAAAATCATGTTAATTAATTTTCATAAGCATGATGGACCACATCAGAAAATCTCACAATGTATGAATAAAAACAATAGCTAAAATAACACATTTTGCTCTGAAATTATGCAACACACTCTCAGATCAATGCAAATTATTTTGCAATGAATACCTAAAACATGCATAAATTTCCATAAATTTGACATGCATAAACATTAATAAATATCACTGTTTCATTCTTTAAACTTTTTGCTCTGATTCTCTGCATACTTGTAGAATGGAAGAATGAAAAATAGAACAAGAAAATTTAATCAATGGCAAGTGTAAATTACTGTTTGTGTCTATTTAAACAGCAGTTATGTAACAAAGACTTCCATAAAAATGTAAACTCAAATCCAATTCATATATTTTAAAAAAAATAGATTAACTACAACATAATGCTAAAATATAACTTGTATATTAGTTGTCTGTTTTATAATATTAATATCAACATAAACATGACTCAAAATTACTAATCTAGTGTTCAGGCTGGTCAATAGCATCACAGGCATTTAAAAACGCCATAATTTATTTCGATAAAATGAAGTATGCATGATTAAATGCAAAAAGGTTCATGCTGGAAGATAATTTTAAATGTGTGCCTGGCCCTTCAATTGAATTTATGTGCAACTCATTAATAAAGTTTGTCCTGCATATGAAGGCCCAGTCATAAAGTTGCTTTCCACATAACCCCAGACTAGTATTAGTGCCATACACTACACAGAAAAAAGGATCTGTGCAATCAGTGCAATGGAGGTAGGCTTGAAGATAATCCATTTAATATTTTATCTATTTTTGTATACTGATAAGTCAGTATATGAGCATGTCAGTTCATAACATCAGGCCACACAATGTCTCGTGCCTCACAGTCGAACCTGAAATCCACGTTTAATTTTCTGAGGTCTATCATGAAGGACCAGTCGCGTTTGGAACCTGGAAAATTGTGTTTTCTGGCTGTAGTTTATGCAATAAACCAGAATAGTAAATCCAAATCTCGTGCAGCAGGTCTTCAGAATAGACACTTAGTGACAAACAGATGTAACTTGAACGTCTTGAAGCACATCACCTCCGCCAAGAACCAGTAGTAAAGATCGTAGAACTGCTGCACAAATCTGCAGGGCTAGATTTTTAAATGCTAAGACAGAAAAGCAAAGTAGAAGTCGAACCAGTAAAAGCAACACTTGCGGCGTTCATGGAGAGGTCTCGCTCGCTACGTTCCAGCCTTTGTATCAACGTTAGTGTTACACGACCACTTACCGTTTGCAGCTGGATGCTAGTAATATGTGTATCAAACACAACACATTCACGCAAACTAACGAGATGAATGAGAGCAGGATGCGATAGAGCTCGCGCTGTACCAGAAGCATCAAAACACGTTTCGGCTACTGCAGAACAATTCAGCTGCGGTTGCTACTCACATGTTTGGCAATGATTGCAATACGAGACGAGACAGATGAAGGATGCGAACAGCAGTCCACCGCGGATGCTATACCATCGTACTTGGCGGTCGGCGTGGTGGTCGTTTTGATGCTTATTCTAGTGGTTAGACCAAGAAAATACAACTGCGTGAAAATATAACAATAAAGGCAATTGTTTTTTTCCCCCGTAACGCCCCCTTGCTGCGGCACGGGCCTCTCTTTGACATTTCCCGACCACCAGGGTGAGAGTTCAGGCAGACAACGAGGGCTGCTGGAGCGACAAGAAGGTAGAATATGCTGGAGGACCAGAAGATGTGTTTGAGCATCACACGATGACGTGTTGGCAGCAGCTCTATTTAAATCCACCTTGCTGTCATTTAAGACAGACAAAGCAAATTCTTATTGGTTTATACATTCAGCATTCTGTCAAACAGGTGTTTTTTCGATTAGAGAAATGGTTTCAAACTTTCATTTCTGAATTGTTTGTAACAGTCCAATATTCATTAGCCTACTTATGATTAGCTGTCCAACAGTTTATTGAAGAAGAATAAAAATGTAGGTACAGATTTAGCTAAAATCTCAGGGCCATTTGTATGAGGTGTGTGAAATTCTACTCCATTTGATAAAAAGATAAATATGTTTCATATAGATTAAAACACATTTACCAAGTTTTTATTCATACAGCAAAAGATATTTCTGTTTGCTTTTACCATCACATAAGAAGTACTCAACTATTTATATTGCACCATGAATGCACAGGAAACAGTTTTCTAAAATATATTTTAAAAATTGATATTTATTTTGAATACCTTGTTTTTGTTTTTTGGGTGGGTGGGTGGGTGGGGGGTGGGTCTCTATACAACCTACACAAAAGATACATTTTCATTCAAAAGGTTCAGTGTCTGAACTTTTTAAAAAAGATATCAGATTCTCAAATATTTTGTGTTAAAATAAAAATAATTAATCATTATTTTCAGAAATGTTTTCAAAAATATTTAATACAAACTTTTAATATATATATATATATATATATATAAAATATTGTCATATTTTTGAACAAGTAATTGTTTTTTTAACAAATAATTGTTTTTTTTAAACAGAAAGGTCTTTTTTCTGACATTTAAAAAATATACAGTATGTAACTGTTTATATATATATATATATATATATATATATATATATATATATATATTTAATTCCAGGCCTACTTTCTAAATAAATAATATAGTTTATAATATATATATATATATACAATGTATTATTTATTTATTAATTTAGAAAGCAGGCCTGGCAATATACAATATATCATTATTACTTGTATAGTAATAATATATTAATAATATAATATATTATTACATTCTAGCTAATTCATAAAATACTTTTAACAAATGAGACCTTATTGTAGTGTTTATTAAATGTGGTATGCTACACTTTGATTTTCATCTAGCTCATTTTATATTGAATATACAAAATCCACAGATGCTGTGAAGGGATTGCTGCAAATTTTACAGTAACTTACTGGCAGCTGGATGCCAGTAAGTTACTGTAAAATGTTTTACAGAATCATTACTGTATTTTCACTTACAGTATACTGTACCTTTACTGTATTTACAGTATACTGTACCATTTACAGTATTTTGTCTAGTTACCTTATTGTCATTTACAGTATTAGTATTGATTTTTTTTTTACGTTTACCCCAACCCCAAAAATTACAACTCATGAACATATGTCCTTAAATATTCTTTTTAATATATTATATCTTTTTAATAAAATATTCTTTTTAATATGTAATATTAAGGGAATAGCATATCGCCGGCGTTGAGTCGTCTCTTCACAGGCGTTGGTCTTCTCATCACAGGCGTTAGGGCGTCCGAATCCCCGTGAAAGGCTGGATACAAAACTGCAGCTGACAAACGCCATTTTTCTCACGTCCCGAGATAACAGCTGAAAGGCAGATGGGAAATAATTAGCATAGCTGATGTTTATAATGATTTCCATTGGTTCCGTATGGCATAACAGAGGAATAAAAGGTAAGCATTATGTGAATGCTTGACTAAAGAGATGCGTCTTTAGTCTAGTTTTAAACTGTGTCAGCGAGTCAGAGCCTCGGACCGTATCGGGAAGGCTATTCCAGAGTTTTGGAGCTAAATGCGAGAACGCCCTTTAGTGGACTTAGATATCCTAGGAATGACCAGAAGCCTTGAATTTAATAACTTATAACTAACAACAACGACAGGAAGGGTAAAGATCATGTAAGATATGATGTTGTATGGTGTTTATAGTTTTTAAATAAATTAAACAACGTTTAAAATATTAGTTAGCAAGATTTTGCTATATTGATAATGGTATATTGCTAACCCTTTCCTCCTCCTCCTCAAACGTCAACCTGTTCTGTGTATCAGTGGAGAGCGTCAGCAGTGATGTACAGTCCGGAAGGAATGGCTTCTGCAAATTCAAAATAAAGAACAGAAATGGATGGATGATTATTTAAAAGCACTTTAATTCTGCTGCCTGGTAAATCTGTTTTCTCCTCTTCCGTTGGTTTCATCAACAGTTACACAATTATGTTTGCCTGTTAAACTAACGCATACTTCAGCTAATTTAGTTGATGTTATCTTACTCACCTGTAGATGTCATCATCACCATTACGATGGCTCTCACAAGAAAAGACTCCAAAACACACCTCCGACATTGCAGACATGATTCAGGCCACAAACTTAAAAGTAAAACAGAAGTTGTAATTAACAATGGTGTCGCTTAAAGTTTACTTAAAAAAATACAATTATGTCACAATTTACTCAGCCTCAACTTGTTCATAACCTGTAATAATTTATTTTTTTGTGCTTTATACAAAAGAAGATATTTAAAAAAAAAAACATGAGTAACCAAACAAGATATATCCATAGTATTTTTTTTATTATAGAAGTCAATGGGGATCAGCAAACTGTTCCATTATCAACATTATTCAAAATATCTTCTTTTGTGTTCAGAAGAAAGAACTTCCAAACACCAAAACAACTTTTTTAGTTAATGATCTGTAAGAATGGAGCTTCATAAATGCTGTTCATTAATTCGAGTAAATTTTTTGACAATTGAGTATAAAGTGTTTTAATTTTCAAATATCTGGTGAAAAACGTCTGAGTGCTGCCCTCTTCAGGTTAAACGGAAAGCTCCTGCAGTAGGGGTACTTTCTGACGTAGGGAACTCTCAGACGCCACTCTGTCACACCCTTGGTGCGAGCTCACCACGCCCTTGGCAGCCCCTGGTATAAAAGCATCTGGTTCCGTCAAAACTACTGTAGCGAGTCAGGAGTTGGATTTATGAGTATTGAAAACGATCAGGATAGCATATATTACCATCTAGTTAGCACAGCATTTATATAGTTATTTATGAAAACAATCAGGATAGAGTATTGTTGCATCTATTTAGCATAGCATTATATAGATAATTTAGATTATTTTGTGTAGCTAGTAGCATAGTACAGTTAGGATAGCTTCAAGTTAGCATAGATTAATCAGTGTTTAGTACAGTGATCAGGATAGTAACGGAATAGAGGTGGACATGGGCTTCTCCACACAGTGCCAAACACTGCTCCTCCTGCATGGACTCCTCCACCGCAGCGGCGTCTTGATGTGAGTGATCATGGATATTTTAATCACAATTTATGGTTAGGATAAAGTTAATCCTCTGGGGTCGACAAACGAGCCGGCGCATTTTGCTGGATTTTTTCACATAGCGGCAGAATATCAATATGAATATATGCCCACAGAGCGTGCGCTATTGAGATCAACTCGACGACAAAACTCATCAGATGCCGATCGCGATGCGGAAGTTGAGACCGCAGTTTGAGCCAGCGGCTCGAATGGATTTGGTCCTGTGTCTACATACAATTCACCCTCATCCACTTCAGGTGACGGTGAAGGTGAGGGAGAAAAGTCCTCGACTTCAAATGGCCGCTCTGTTGCAAAGGCAGCTACTTGCGTCACTCCAGTCTCTCTCTATATTAGAGTCTGACAGCAGCTGTCACTCACGGCGGGTCTCAGGTGCACGCCCCCTGGCCCCGCTGGGATCTGCCCATTTTTTCAGCATTTTTCAAATATTGCTAGTGGGTGGAGTCAGTCTGACAGGGGTTTAGTTACCCTTTAAACTATTTTATCATGTTAGCTCACTGTTAACGTTGCTATATCTGGCTAACTAGCTAAGTTGTGATACATAGGGGAAGGGAAATACATATGTTATTATTTTTCTCTGTTTAATAAGTTTACTTCGGCTTATTTAAGTTAGGTGAAGTCAACCTACCAGTTGATGTTATGACGGCAATGAAAGGGCTCCAACACACACCTCCATCGTTGCAGACTGCAGACATTATACAGATCACAAACCTGAAAATAAATCCAAGCATATATTTGAAAATCTTGTTTAAAAACCTCACTTAAACAAGGGTTTCGTCTATCGCACTTTACCTCAGTATTTCACGACACATAGTTCGTTGCGGGCTCCTGGCGAGCTTTCGTTAAAGAGGCAGAGATACACACAAACGTTATTGTTATTGTTTTAACTAAAGAATATTTTGGATAATATAGGTGAGCTTAGCTTATACTAGAACTTACCAGTTAATATTATCACCGTGATGGAGATCCTATTCAAATACTGTTCAAATTACAGAAACCAGTTACATCGCTTTAATCGTAAAAAGCAGTGCTTTTCCATGACGCCAGGGCTGAGAGACATCTCGTGCTTGTCCTCTCCCTGTTCTGTGAGAGCAGCAATCTCTGTCTGTCCATAGTATTCATCTACAGAGAGGCCTGATGTGTCAGAAATGTTCTCATTTGCATGATGGGAAGGTGTCAAGAAATTAAAATCCTCAAAAAGGTCCGTCGTATCATATGGCACGAAGGAGGAGGGATTCTTTATGTTGATGCTGTCATCAGCTCTGTTTGTCCCATCCACATCACTGCCAAGACAAAGAGAGAGAACATCTTCAACACAAGAGTCCAGGCGAGGCTTTGAATGTGGAGGCTCAGAGAGCTCAAAATCCTCATGCATCTCAAAACGTTCGACAGCAGCAGGAGAGAACTCATTGCCAGAGTAAATAGCCCTCTTTCTCTTTCTTGAGCCTGTGAAATAAGACAGAAGTTCCTCAGAATCAGTGGCTGCAGCTTCCATGACGCCAGGGCTGAGAGACATCTCATGCTTGTCCTCTCCCTGTTCTGTGAGAGCAGCAATCTCTGTCTGTCCATAGTATTCATCTACAGAGAGGCCTGATGTGTCAGAAATATTCTCATTTGCATGACGGGAAGGTGTCAAGAAATTAAAATCCTCAAAAAGGTCCGTCGTATCATATGGCATGAAGGAGGAGGGATTCTTTATGTTGACGCTGTCATCAGCTCTGTTTGTCCCATCCACATCACTGCCAAGATTCTTCACCCCATCCTTTAAGCTGGCAGGCCAGAAGGCTGGTGGAAGGTTGTAAACACCCACAAATTTCAATGGACCAAGCTCCTTTAGATTTGAAGGATCCCAGATCAAATCTAAACATAAAAAAACAACATATAAATATCTCTATCACCTCTGTACTGATAAACTGCAAAAATGGTTTGATATTAATGTTATGGGAAATTACTTTCGGGTCTGATAACACCACAATGGGTCTCAATTGCATCAGATCTTGGAAGGGCGATAGATTCCACCTCATCTCTGCAATCCTGCAGTGGGTAAGGAGGAGGTGGATATGGAGGTATCATGAAGTCATTTTGGGTCATGGGGGGTCCTTAAAAATGACACAATGTAATTTAATGTAACAAGCAAAAATATTTAAATCAGATTTACCTGATGTTGTATAAAGAAATAGTATTAAAAATATCATTGATCATAATTCATGTAAACACTTGGGGACCCATTCAAAATCTTCCGCGACCCACTTGTGGGTCAGGACCCCGCCTTTGGGAATGACTGTTGTAGAGCATACCGTTCCTGTGAGATAAGTTCTGCAGAAATGATAATCTCTAATTGGTAATTGCTAATATAAATATTAACATGTAGTGTCAAGCTGATTGATCGGTGGGTGGCACAATGAGTCATTTGGGGGGGGCACTGCACTTGATATCTATGCTTGATATTCGACACATATCTATGCTTGATATTCGACAAAAAAACAAAACAAACAAACAAACTGCCATCTGATTCAGCGCACTGAGCGCAGCGCCGCGTTGATCCTCTTGAACACACACCACTCTTCCCTGTCTATGCACTCTTCTGAGGGATTGTTTCACAACACGAGGGAGCGGCAGATATGTGACTCTCTCTAGTGGTCAAGTAGCATTGTTTCGACACGAGAGCAGAAGCATATTTCTTCTTGCACGCCCTCTGTGTGTTACACAAAGTTATATCATGATTTCAAGATCATTCCGGTCATAGAAGGCCACCGAGACTTCTCTCGTCCTCGCATAACATCGAGCAGCTCTTCGACCTGTCAGGTAAAAACAACAACGCTGTTATTTATTACAAACATTCAACACGCAACTGCTTTACTCTGGTTGGGCGTTTAAATATGTAAAAAAAATAATTCCAACATCTGTAGCGCGTGTGAAATCATGTTCTGCCGAGCGCGTGACATTTTGTGACAAAGCCACATGCTAAATTTGCACGAAAGAAGAATGTCTATATTAATATTCGACACAGTAGTAGTCATAGGCTTCGTGCGTGGGGTCGCTCCCATAGCAGGACAAACTGACCTGGCATGAACCAAATTTACCTCATGTTTGGTTATTGCATTGTTGGAAGTTCATTCAAATTAGCCTTTTAAACAAAATCGTTATTATTTTGTTCGCCTATTTATTAAAAAAAGTTACAACTTTCGCCAAACAGGCATTTATTAAGAACACAGTTCATATTTACCTTTCTAAACTGTTTATTATTTGTATTCAATCATTTGGTAGCACTTTACGGTTGTTCCTCGTGTACACAAGTATGTATTTATTTTAGTTTTTATTGTAATAACTGGATAATAACTAGGTACTAATCCTGAGCTTACCCTTAAATCTAACCTTAACACATCCATCTAGTTAGTTTCCTAAATTGCTGGAGCCACTCCTACTGTAAAATAAAGTGCAACCATTTTTTTTGTTTACATTCATTCATATAGTATTATATTTACAATTTTCAGGCCTATTTTTTTACAGGCCTATATATTAATTACTATATATATATTGCATCAAGCTTTGTTTTGTGATTGCATTTTTTGAAGGCTGGTGTCCTTATTTTACTACCCTAAGCTACTGTTGGCCTCCTGACTCACATGCTGTGGAGATAAGCTGTCAAACTTGTTTCACAGACAAGGACATGCAGAGCAATTAGACTAAAACAATGTGTATGTACACAGAGGCAATTGCTTAGAAATCTTAATTTGCCAGTTTGCATTGAAAGGATGTGGATTCCTATGCTGAGTTTGACTGCCCTGCCACACGTTGGTGGGATATTTGGAGGTCTCATCACACGGAAGGAGGTCAAGACCTGGTACACCACACTCAATAAACCCTCATGGAGGCCACCTAATGCTGCCTTTCCAGTGGTGTGGACCACTCTCTACACTGGCATGGGGTAAGTTCAAACAGAGGCCACTTATTGTTTCTATCAGTTATGCATTTAAAAGCTTTGAAGGAAGTTGAAGTTAAGTTTAAAAGTTAATAAGTAACTAAAAAAACCTCCAAATGGTGTGATTATGGTGGTAATGTTTTTTTTTTTAAGGTACGGTTCATACCTTGTGTGGAAAGAGCTTGGAGGCTTCAGCCAGGATGCAGTGGTGCCACTGGGGCTCTATGGGTTGCAGTTGGCACTTAATTGGGCCTGGACTCCCATCTTCTTTGGAGCACACAAAATAAAACTGGTGAGACATTACTCTGGTTCAAAAGTCATATTGTTTAGTTAAACTACTTTAAAGGAAAACTAAGACCAGTTTCTCTGCATATGAGATAGTGTCAGATTTTTGTGAAGACATGCTTGACTGAATCTCTATAGTACAGTTGTTTTGTTGCTTTTCCATATATAGGCGATGATTGAGATAGTGATGCTGAGTGGCACAGTGGCAGCCACAATGGTGTCTTGGTATCCCATCAGCCGCACTGCAACACTGCTCATGGTACCATACATGGCCTGGCTCTGCCTAGCTACCTGCCTCAACTACTGCATTTGGAGAGACAATCCAGATCCCAAAAAAGACGACTAAAGAAGGCAATAAAAACTAACACGACTGACTAGAAAACTACTTTATTTTGCTTGTTGGCCATTTGAAGTTACTATTTAATAATGAAGTTGGTTTTTTTTATTTTTTAACTTTACTTTCTTGTTTATAATATCAGAAAAGTCACCATGTCTTAATTATAAATGCAGGAAAGGCTATAAAACGAGAATGTTCAAATGCTTCCAATTTTTTTTCACTTAAGTTCAGCATTTTACACAGATCAGTTTAGAGGCTCTTCCAAATTAAAATGTTTGTTTGTCTTGCCTATTTTTATAAATAAAAAATGTTTTAACAACTCTGCTTCGTGAAAGGAAATTCAGTTACAGCATCGATTTTGTTTCAAACAACAAGGTCTGGTCACAGGGTGGTGGTCAGGCAGGGTAGGTTTTTATCATCTATCTTTTATGAACATATTTTCCCATGGCGTGGTGGGCCATTTTATCACTATCTGCCAGAAAATTCCCCAGTGTGCAATCCACTTTGTTGTTTCACTTATACGTGCAACTTTCTTTTAGTAAACTGCTGTAATTTTATCCTAATCCTAAATTACAAATTGCACAAATTTTGTTCACAATTTACAAATTCACATTAAATGATGCTGGCTTGTTAAAATGGAAATTACAGTTTTACTTTAGATTTTAAGGAATAAATATATAACCCCAAATTATGTTAAGAGAATTAATAAAGAAAGACTGACTTCTGATTTTTTTTTTTTCTTTTTTTTGAGTGAACCTCCCTTAACCCCCCATAACTACGTATGCAAAACAGGATTCAACCATCTAGAAAAACAAAAAACAAAACATAGTCTTAAGTTTAGAATGTACATAATTCAACATGGCTTTTATCCAGTGGAATCATAAAACATACTGGGTTGTTTTACAGTAAATACAAAAAATATTTATTTGCATTATGGATTCAAGAGAAATAATACGCAAGTAATAATCTATGAAACTGAATGTTGTTTTTCCTGAATGATCACATTTCTCTAACTTTAATAAAGCTCTCCAAATAAACCATCCGTCCGTTTACTTCCATGTTCCATCAACATGAAGAGAGCTACAGTTGTTAAAAGTGAAGATTTAAATACACTCCTTGTTTTATTTGAATAGGTGCAAAGAAGATCTGTACAGTATGATGATTATTTTTCAGTTTTTTCAGGGGGTCCATCTTCAGGTTTAGAGGAGAAGCGCTCTGTTAGTGTCTTCCACAATCCCTTCTTTACCTCATCTGCTTGCTGCATGTTTCCTTCAAAAGACAAAATAAACAAGCTAGTAATACAAATTACCTTTTAAATTCTAGTACACATAAAAATGACAGCTAATGAACCATCAATTTTACATAAAATGTAAAGGTGACATACAACCTGCTCTCATAGTGAAAATTCACAATACAATGCAACAATAACAAAATGTTTCCTCCCTAACTAATATATATAAATATACTACATTGTTGTCTCTTCACTAGATTATGAGATGCTACATGACACTGAATGTCAAAACAGACTAGTACTTTACATTTAAGCTTTAAAGAAATCTGTATATACGCACTACTCAAAAGTTTGGGGTCAGTAAGATTTGTTTTAACAATATGGACACATTAAATTAATTAAAAGTCAAGTGACAAAGACTTTTACATTAACTTCCTAAAGAATCCACTGTTTTAAAGAACATTTCTTGAGCTGCAAATTAGCATTTTAGAATAATTTCTGGAGGATCATGTGACACTGAAGAAAGACTGGAGTAATGATGCAGAAAAATCAACTTTACTATCATAGGATTAAGTTTACATTCTCACCTGTTGCCAATAGTATTCGGCACTCTTCCACTGTCACGCCTGTAAAACTTGTATCTTTTGCTCGTGGAAACTGAAAACAAACAGACAAACATATTATGATGTTGTCAACCTAAGGTTTGTGTCAATCGAATCAACTAAATGAAAGACATTCTACAAAAAATGTGAGGAAAGATGGGACAATACATATTGCAGTCTCCACAGCTGCATGAATGCGAGCTATGAAGATTGTAAAGATACAACAAAAAAAATACAACATTTCTGAAGAAGACAGGACAGTTTAAATAAATCTGATTATGTAAATATAAACTTGGATCTAGAAAATCTTTTAAGAAATTCACTCACCTTTTCTTTGTACACATTACTGTTGATGCGGGCCAGACTTTCATACAGCTGATCACATTTCTCTGGGTCTGAAATCTAAATTGAAACAAGACAACATAGGCAATGTTGCATAAGATATTTGTATTGTAGTTTAAACAGTATTTTTTTACAAGAAAAAAACATACGAGCAAGAGAAAATAAACATTCAGGAACATTTTACAGAAAGAATTCATCTAACATATCCTAATAAATAACATGTTAGCGACTGTCTAACAGTTAATGGACGCGAGAATACCTCTGCGCATATTATGAAAGATGACATTTGACTTGTCTTGAAACTGGCAAGGTCTGCAACAAGGTAAATAGTGCAGTAATTCACTTAGTAAATCCCCTAACGTACCTGTGTATTTTCGCCTTCTCGGAAAGCACTAGCGACTCTTTGGCGTAAAAACGTTCCTAAATCTCGCCCTTTCTTTGATTCGTCCTTTGGCCATTCCTCGCATAGCTTTAGAAATCGACGGTATCTGGTGGCAGACATGTTTTACGTACAGGAGTTGTAGGTGGTGTTTCACAACTGCACTACTGTGTTGAAAACTGTAAGCCGCGGAGGGTCAAATAAAATGGCGTTTCAAAATTGATGCCTTATAGAACAAATTGCCCGTCTCTAAATACGGTTTGTCCCAGTTGAGATTCCGTAGTCCATCCTGTTAACCTCGTGGTTTGCCGTAGAAATCTCAAGGTAATTTCAAAGACCCTCTGCTCGGCTAATACTAAAAGAATCATTTAGCACCGAATAAAATGAGCGGAAAGAAAGCCGATGGGAAATCGGGCGGCGTCATGGGCTGGATAAGCACAGCTTGCCATTTTGCAGCGGACAGAAATGACTTTAGAAGGTTTGTTATTATTGTTGTAAATGATGTGACACAAACAGTAATGTTACTGCTGCGTTCAACTCCTATACCTGAAGTAATGTTCAAATGTATTCTTTTAAATATCCTGCCAGCATCTGTAGTGATCCCATTTGTTTCATTGTTACAGGAATCTCCTTGTAAACCTGGGTTTATTTGCTGCGGGTGTTTGGGTCGCAAGAAACCTCTCAGATTTCGACCTAATGTCTCCTCAGCCAATTACGTAGCTCCCGATCAACAACTACAAAAAAAGGTATTTTAGGTGAAACAGCAAAAAACAACTTAAAAGCATTGTTCCACCTTTCCAAAACATATCCGAGACTTAACTCCTTGATTTTCTCTTCTCGAAATAGGTGGTGTTGAAATGGAAGAACATTTTCTACAGTGGGTCTTGTTGAACAAGCCCATTCGACACTTAAGGGGAATAAATCCCAGCAACTGGATGATTACAATTGAAGATTTCTTGTGTATTTTGTGTTTTGTTGAAATAAAGCTCACGTTGAACAGTTGCCTAAAGCAGTTTATTCATGAATACATCAAATGTACATAATTTTGGAACAATATTCAAGAAAATTAAAAAAATTCCAATAAAATTTATATTTTAAAGCACTTAATGCATAGTTTGATACCCTTTTATGTAGCATTTCCACACTTGCAATCCCTTATTTTGAAGACAAAACTTTGATCCAGGTCTCTTTTTCTGACCTGAGGAGACATAAGTATTACTGTTTTAGATATTACCTTACACAAGAATTATGTCATAATAATATTGTCATAATAAAAAGTGCTCAAGAACACAAACACAGGGGTTGGACAAAGAAACTGTTTGAGGTTTCACATCTATATCTTAACTGATTTTACATTCTACCAGTAAGAGCAGAGTGTGAATTAGATGTATAGTTCAATAGAGGAACTCAAATGGTTGTTGTGCATCTTGCTGGCTCATCTGTGACCAGGACAGCAAGTCTTTGTAGTGCATTGAAAGCTATGGCATACAGGGTAGTGTCAGCATATCACCACCTAGGACAAACCACAACCACATCTCGCATCAACAGGAGTAACTGTTGATGCAAGAGGAAGCTGTATGAAACGGATGTTTAGGTACTAACCTGAATCTAAATACTTTTTGAGCCACTTGGGAGTCAAATATTCCTATTCCAAAAAATAATTTAATTCACCAGCATCAAATCGTGACATGGCCACTAATCTGGAAGAATGGCTCAAAATCCCTCAGGCCATTGTTAAGGACTTGTCTCTGGCATTCCCAAGACGAATTGAATTTTGCCAGAAAAAGGAGGCCCTACACCATATTAATCAATTATTTTCATCATCTAAAACCAGGAATTTCAGTTTCACCGTCCAACCCCCATACTTGTAGTCTTGGCAATGGATTACATATTGTATAGTGAAAGTTACCGTGTGTGTGCAGCCAATATGAGGACGCTGGAAGACCTATTGTGGTTCTTAGGCAGATGGAGCAGGAGGGACTCAGCAGGTAGTCCCAAAATTGTTTTGATTTCCTCTACACGCACATTATCAGGAAATAGTGCATGGTCCTGCACAACAAACCTGGGTCCACTGAGTGGAGTGTAAAATGACAATAACATTGGATATCAAAACTTTAACATAAAACAAGCTTACAAAAACATTTCACCAGATCATACCTTCTAACAGAGAGGAGCAAAAGATCATTGAAGAGATGAATGTATACATCTTTGTGAGAGACTACAGAGACTTTGTTATCGCCACCAACAATTTTTAGTTGCTTCAAAGTTCCCTCTTGAATCAAATGACGCCCTCTCTTGATTAATGGAATGGACTGATAGAGAACAGAAGAAAACAGGTTTAAAGATAACAGCAGAAAAACAAAATTACATGTACGTTAAGATTTTATACCTTGACATTTCCAAAATCCACTAACTTGTCCAAACAAACAAGCAGCTCTGTCCTCTTCATTTGTTCGACACTTCTGTCACACTCCTCCACGATCTACACGAAACAGATTTATGAAATTACAAATGCATTCATTTATAAAGTAACAGATGAATTGCATCCAATTATGAAAGCTTGTTTTTGCCATGGAATAAAAAAGGAAAAAGGTAATTATGACTTACACAATTGTTTCACATATTTTTTTTGCTAAAATTGTTGTGGCAGAAACAGGTTTCCATACAGCATCTAATATTGATCAATTGATGTCCAAGATAATTTATATATAAAGATATCAGGGACATTTATGATTTTGAAAGCAAAGCATGACAGCCTACCTTACGTACAGCTTCAATGGCTTCCGTCAAATTAGAGACGTTAAGATAAACACCTTTAGTTCGCTTGAGAATGTTCTAAAACAAAACACAAACAATTCATGTTCACAAAGATGTTAACAGTATTTTCTCTGAAGAGTCAACACTCCCTGGCTTGTATAAAAGGAAAGCCAACCTCAAGTAAGAGTGTCATCCGTGTGATCCTCTGAAAAGGAAGAATCAAGAAAGATTTGAGCGTCTGTCTCTGGCATTGTGGATCTTTCTCTAGTTTCTTCAGGATCAATGCAAATTTCCTGTTGCTCTGCCTGGTGGGAAGTGGAAAATGGTAATTAGAAGGCTACCATACCAAAGCTATAAGATTAAATTGAATGATGTGTTCAATATGGAATAAACATAAAAATGGAACAAACAGCAGCTGAGTGATGATGGCCTCCTGGTACATCATGTTGGTGATATACGGCACATAGACTTGTTGGAAGTCTTGCTGGTGGTTCAAAACAATATCACCAACCCGTGACATCACCACATCCTGCCTGAGATGGGACTCCAGGTCCTGCAGAATCCTAAATAAACCCAAATAATGTAATATTGCATTATGATTTTATATATACACAAGGCTGCATTTGATCAAAAAAAAAAAAAAAAAAAAAAAAAAAAAAAAACAGTAAAAAAAAAAGAAAAAAAAAAAAGAAAAATATTTCCCCATTTTAAATTTAAAATAAATGTGATGGTAAATCAGAATTTTCAGCAGCCATTATATTACAAATACAGCAAAAAAAATACTGTGAAATAATATTACAATTTAAAATTATATTTTTATATTTAAATAAATATATATGAATTTTCAGCAGCCATGACAGAAGTCTTCAATGATCCTTCAGAAACTCAAGTAACATTTTTTTTAATTATCATTAATTTTGAAAACAGTTATGCTGCTTAATAGTTTTGTGGAAACAGTGAGACATCTCTTTATATACTTTGAATTTAGGATTTTTCATTGAATAGAAAGTTTAAAAGAACAGAAATTTGAAATAGAAAGCTTTTGTAACATTATAAAATGTATTTACTGTCACTTTAAACCAATTTAATATAGCCTTGCTGAATAAAAGTATTAATTAAAAAAAAAAACTTTTAATGGTAGTGCATGTAAATCATTAGATTAATATACTATTAAAGTCCCCGTGAACCGGAAGTTGCAAACGATTTTTCTCCAGTGCTGTGACGTATTTCCAAGTGAAGCGGAATATTGAACAGAGGGCAGGGTTTGACTCTAGCGCTCCTCCTCTCCATCTCTCGCTCATAGCAAACTAACGGTTTGAGGGGAGTGGTTAAGCGTTTCCCCACCCAAACTGTGAAACCTACGTCATTAGAAAAAGAAACCGTTCCAGACCGGAAGTAACTTTTCAGATTTTGATTAAAGATTACTAAGGTAAAACATTTTTTTAATATATATTCACTTGCACGGATTAATTGTTCACCACAAGACTAGTAATATGCGCTAACAAAGTAAATAGGTTCAATTTTGATTTCACGGGGACTTTAAATAAACATTTTCACATAATACTTGTAATTGTAATTTTTTATCATTAGATATTTAGAAATTCATATTTTGGCAATCAGTGAGATCAAGTGAAGAAAGCATAATGTATCTTTCATATACATAATTGTATTGTATATCCAAGCATGTATTCTCACCGTTGACTGACTCGGCAGACGTCCTTTAGGTTGGAGAACAGAACATGATGCTGCACACGGGAGAGGATCTGTTTAAGTTCTGCTGAGCACTGAAACACATTCAGAGCTACCACCAGACTCTTCTGATACGAGGCCTCCGACACAATCAGCTCAAACGTGGCCTAGCCCGAAATCACAAAACAGAGGGATGAGTAGTGTAACTTTACAGTAGACATCAGACCAAGGTCACATTTCACAAGCATGCAGCAGTCTTGTAGGTATCCTGCAATATACACCTCCTGAAGCTGGATCTCCTGCGCACTGAGGGACTTCAGCAGACACTCAACTTGTGGTAACTCCTGCCACAGAGCGTATGGCTTAGCATGTAGTCCTGGTGGACTCAACACAGAGGTTGGGCTTAAAGGAGGAGGAGTTTTCAGACCATGAAGACGAACCAATGACACCAATTCTGAAAGTCCTGCGTGCTGTGCCTGTGCTCGGTGTAAATCCTTCTTCACAGACTTCATCCAATACTCCTGATATAAAGGGACAGCTGGGAAAACAAAATTGGAACATATCAAAACAATATTTGGTGCTACCATCTGTATTTGGTAAATAAATTCATATCATATTGTGTAACGAAAATTTATTTGTTTTACATGACCCCAACCATCCATTCTCATACACTCATTACAGTAAAGTGAAAATCATACAACTTTTCTTTAAGCAAAATATTTTGTGTGCGTGTGTGTTTTTTTGATGTTTGGATGAAATGAGATCCAGCTACAGCATCTGGTTGACAGTTTTTGCAAGATTCATCAATAAACTTACAGCTGTTGATGTACTTGGATTCAAACTTGGCAACATACGTTTCCTCTTGTTGTGCATTGACTTCAGTTGCATCTGCCCTGAAATGAGAAGAATGCTTAAATGCTTTGTTTTTGAGCAAAGGCGGATGTACAGACAGAAATCGACAGTTTGTTAATACTCAATGCCTGAATTATCATTTAGTTTGTTACCTTTTCACCTCATTCTCCTCACAGTTCATGTCAGATGATTCAAGATTGGAGCTCTTCGAAGAAAAAAGGGATGAAATGGGCAGAGAAAACCCCATTAAGTTCCTTAACTGTGAGGTTCCAATAGATCTAAGGGCTTCAGACAACCCTTGAGATGCACTAAGGAAAAGAGATCAAAATGAAAAAGAGCTAAAAAATTAAACACCATCCTGGCACCATCTGAAGCTTTTTTAAAAAGTTTATTGCGAGGTAGGCGGCAAATAGGAAACTAAACATCAGGCAAGGATAAGAATAATTA